AATCTCTTAATTTTCTTCTTTGATTAAGCACCAGGAGATGGGGTCAGTTCTTGGTTTGGAGGTCTAAGCCCTCTAATTTACAAAATCCCCAAATCAAATAAAAAAAATATCTCAACCCTCTCAATTCCAAGACCTAAGCCTCCTGAGAACTTCTCTGATTTTCAAAAAGCCAACCTCTTGATTCACTTCTCGGAGGTGACTCCAGCGATGGTAGCTTCACCAAGACCTCCACTAACATGCCAATATTTCTACATGTGGGCTCAAGAATTCAAGTTGAATCAACAACTCTCAAATTGAAAAGCTGTGCAAATTGAACTGACCCAGAAATTAAAAAGCTTCGCATATTATATGCGAGGAAGAGCGGAAAAAGATGCCACCAAACTCTGTAGATGACACAAGCAAGGCCGTTGAAGTTATTGAGAAGGTTGATTTCCGGAATAAGTCAGTCGGAATTGCCGATAATGCAAATAAATTAGTAATTTGAGCAGGGAGTAGCAACTCTGATGCTTAAACCGCGTAGAAAGTGGGAGAAAGTGGAGAAGACGTATTGAAGACTGTTTCTTGTTAGTACCGCTTAATACCAAGGCTCTACTTGAGATTAGATAACACCCTTTAGTGAGGTGCGGAAGGACTGCCAATCAAGACGATTCTCATTTAAGTTAATACTTAGTCGCTCCACGGAAGTATAGTCCCAACTAGTCTTGTCCCTCGTAAAGGGATAAAACGGAGACTCAACTATATACGAGATGAATGCAGCAAGAATGTCGGTTGTAGATTATTAGGCCATGTAGCCACCGACACACCCTCCTTAAACCGGTCCGTGCCGTAACATCCACCTCTGCTCCTGTCGTTTACACTCCTTATTTTATTTTATTGCCTCACATTGATTCAAAAAGTTGACTAAATAAAATATTTGGTTAGTAATTATTTTATAGGGTCGTTCATGTGGACATGCATCTAGTTTACTTTGTAATTTTTATTGTTTGTATATAATAATTTAAAACTCTATTAACTAATGAAACATTCTTTATCAACAAAAGATGGTGAAAAGACTACTTAGTATTCTATCACACATAAAAAATGATGAGCAATAATGTAATTTCATAGGTCCAAATTTTACTATTTTTTATTGAAACCTCACCTACAGATGATGTTAAAATACCTTCAATATTTAAAAAAAAAAAAAAAACCTCTCACTTCCCCTACGTTCTCTCTCTCTTTCTCTCTCCCTCTCTCCTTCTCATTTTCTAAAAAAATGTGTTCATATACACAAAATGTGTAGGCAAATGTTAGTTATTTATTAACAAAATTCTCTTTATCAATTAAAAGACGGTGACATTAGTATTTAATCTTTTGTTAAATTAGGTTCTTATCCTTCCTTTTGTTATTTCATTGATTAAAATCTGATTCCTTTTTAATTTTTAATCAAGGTCCTTGGTATTAATAACATCATTAATTATTTCAATAATAAAATATTTTTTTTATTTCTAAATATATTCATTTAATGTTAAAAATGTTACAACTAGTATATTTATATTTATGGTTAAATTTTTTATCATATATTTTTTATTTTTAGTTTGTACCCATTTGTAATTTGCAACCTTTTTTTAATTTGTACCAATTTTCTTTTCAGTTTTAATTTGTACCCATATATTAATTTCTTTTTGTGCCCATATTTTTGAAAGTTTTATTTGTATTTGTACCCATTTTTTAATTTTGCTAAATGTACCCATGCTAATATATGTACCCATTCATGTAATTTTTTCAAATTTTTAATCTTAAAATGTACTCATTCTTAAATATACAAATTTGTTATATGTAAAATGTACCCTTTTTTATATAAAACCTATTCAATTTTTTTCTAATCCATTTTTAAACTTATATGGGTACATTCTTTTTTCTTTGATTTGAGAATGTATGTCACAGCCCGTCCCGAAATAAATTTTTTCGATAGTGTGATTTGTCTAGAATACCCTTGGATGTTGAGTACATTGAGTGATGTTATAGTTTGAGTTTGGGTTTTAGACTAATCTAATTAGTTCCTAAGTTTTTGGAACTGAAAATTTGTGGTTGTTATTTGTTGTGATTGGCTGCAAACTGGACCACACACACACACCAACCCATCCCGTTGACTCTCTCTCCTCCCTTTCTCTCAGATTTCTTCCATTCTCCGTACAAGCATACAGACAAACTTCAAACCCTCCCTTCCAGTCACGGATCAAGGTTGTGAAGGTAGTCTTTGTGATCCTTGTGAGCTCAGGAGCTCACCTATACCCTTGGTTGGACATGAAGACCTTATTTTCCCAAGAACCCGAGAACCCAGTTTTGGGTTACTGTTCATGCAATCGTAAATGTGAAGTTTTTAGGAGATTTTAAGCTGCCAGGAAGCTTTAGGACATCTTCAAGAAGCTCGAAGAAGAAAAACGAAGTGTTTTGGACATCGGGAAGTTGAGTTTGGCAAGTTTCAAGTTTGGTCGGAATATCAAGGTTTTTCCGGCAAGATCCCATGGATTTTAGGGATTAAAATTGGTAAGGTTTTGTTCTACTCGTTGTAAGCTTCATTTTGGTTTAAGTTTCGTGAATTTTGGTTGAGAATCGAAGAAGATATGAAGGTTTGATTATTTTCCCAATTTCCGGCGATAGCAGTGGCACAGGCGCCAGGCTCCGGCGAACCAAGGAAGAAGGAGAAGAATATTCCGTCAAAGTTAACGGAATATTCTAACGTCGTCAGGTATAATTAACTACATATTCTAGTTTTTAACGGAATATTCCCTAACGCCGTTAGGGAATCCGTTTGGTGTGCCAGGCACGTGCCTGCACGTGAGCCGCGCGTCTGGCCGTGCCTTGGCCGACGCGTGGGGTCATGAAAATATTTTCTAAAAATATGGGGATGTTCTTGAGGTTGAGTAGGTCATGGTGGTATATTCAAATACCCCATTTGAGCATTGTATGAGAAGTTATTTCCTAGTTTTGTATATATGCCTTAAATAACGTTTATTCAGTTATTTCGCATATAGGTGAGACCTATCCTGAGGACAAGCTCCATCAATCGAGGCTCGGGGGCTACGACCCTTCGACATATTAGTGAGTGGGCTTTTGGTTTTCCGTATATACCTATATACTTGAGATTTTTCCCAGAAAATGAATTGGAATGATTATACGTTTTGAAATGTCATGCAAAGTATCTACATATTTTATTTATGCATTAGTAGTTGCATATATTTATGGTTGGTGCTGCAGACGCACAGGTAAGTGTCAGGTAAGTTCATAAATAAAGATAGGAGATTGCTTCAGTTATGTGAGATATGATGTGATGTATCGAGAGCTAATAAACCTGCACCCTGGTGTTAGTGCTCCCGTCCAGACTTAGGGCATAGTCCTTCACGTGATATTCACCTCCCGCACCATATGCTCACCTTGGATCCAAGTTAGGTGCACATGCTTGTCGTACTGACCACTTTAGGTAGTTCCGACTTGTTGGTGACCCACAATCATTCGCACAACCTTCACGTGATCGTAACACTAGAGCATATTTATTTTACACCTAGTCTTGTCATATAGACTACTTTAGGTGGTTCCGACTCATGTGTAGGATTTGATTTGATATGATTGAGATTGGTTATGAGCTATATACTCAGCCATGTAGATTGCGTTAAAGGGATTTGGCTGATGCGATATTTGACATTGATATATTTTGCCTGGGATTACTTATGGCATTGCTTTGAGATACTTTGGCATGGTATACTTCTATGGATTTTCATCTTGAGTATGATTTCTGATACAACTTATTGTTATTATTATTTTCTGGTTTATGGCGAGGGATTAGAACTTTTGAGAAATGAAATGATTTTGAAAAGCTTTGTTTTTACCCACTCACACTTTCTATTTTGCGCCTCTCCAGGTTTTAGATAGAAGTGTTTTGCTGGCTCACGGGGATTTCGATAGTGGTTCTGATAGAACATCATAAATGTAGGATCACCCTTGGGTGTTGTATAATTAGCACTTGTCTTGCTTGACTGCACTTAGGCTATTTATGCTCTGGTTGTGTATTTCACACTTAATCTCGCACTGGCACCTTATCTTATCTAGTACTCTAGTTGATTTGGTTTTTGTTTATTTGTATTTCGTCTGCTTCCGCATTGTGCACATGGCTACGTCACTCTCACGTGACGGCCAGCATGCCCTAATTTAGGTTGGGGTGTGTCAATGTATCCATGTTAAGTTTAATCGAAGAAATTTACTAATGTTATTAAGCCTAATATTTATTTTTTTTATTTTTTTATTTTTTTTTGTGATTTTGAAGAATGTACCCATGTTTTGATACAATAATCTTGTGGTTAATTTTGATGCATGTACCCATGTTTATACACACACACACACACACAATAGTATATTTATATTTTTAATCCCACAAATTATAGTTTTTTAATTAAAATCTCATTAATATAAACAACTATAAATTTTAATTTTTAATTTAAAAAATATAGTAACGTACATATAAATAAACAATCACATTAATTTTAGGGACTTGGATCAAAAATTGAAACCAATAAGGTTTCAGTCAAAGAATATTCATAGTTAAGAACCATATCCAAAGTCTCTCTTAATCTTTTATCACAACAACAAAATTATGGACTCCAAGGAATTTCTTGCTTTAATGAATTTCATGCTTTAATGAATGAATTTTTTCTTTGCATAAAGAAAAACAACAAAATTATGGACAGTAATAAAATTTCACGAAACTAAATTCTTTTGTTTTTTATTTAAGCCTCACTTGTAGGCAACTTTAACATATATCTATTCTATAAATAAAAATAAAAGTCTCTCTCCTCACTCCCACTCCCACGTTCTCTCTCTTCACCTCTCTTCCCAATTGAAAAACATAAATAAAAAATGTTCATGCACATAAAATGTGTAGGCATATGCTACTATTATTTATACCAAGTGACAGATTTAGAAAGATTAACAAGTAAAATTAAAACCAAGTCACAATAACTCAGTTACAACAATTTAATTCCATGTAAAACCTCTTAATTACATGCGAAAGAAAACACTGCTTAATCAGAGTAGTAAGTGACCTTTAGAATAATTTTAATACATGCATGAATTAGATACAGATTAAAAGACAGCAATATAACAAATATATAACAATTTATCCCACTTGCATATTCTATCATTTCATGCCATTTGAGATTATGTTTGAATAAATAATAAATTCTCCCTAACCACAAGCAAATCTAAAAACAAAATAAAATAAAATTACAAAAGTTACAAACTACAATATCTTGAACCAATTTAATTGGTTTATTATTTTGATTTTGTTTACCAAGAATTTGATTGGTTGTTTTAACCATTTTGGACCCCACAGAAATCAGCACCAAAAATATTAACTCTCCTTGCCCTCTTCACCGCCCTCTTCCAAGTAAGCCTTCTTCCTCCTCTCGGCGGTGGCAAACAGACAAATCACAAGGAAACACGTGGCGTAAAGTCCATGCACCTTCCAGTTGGTCTTGGGTGGCTGCCTCAGCACCGCTCTGTGAAACACCGACATGTAGTAATGGAGCCCAACGGAGAAGCCCACGAAGGTCTGGGCCAAGCCCAACACCTTCGAGCCCAACCCAGAATCGGTCGAGAAAACCAGAATCAAGTACATGAGCAGCAGCAGGAGGTACAGCACGTAGCCGAGCGTCTGCAGCACCTGCAGGCAGACGTAGGTGGAGTCCGAAGTGGCGTAGAAAAACTTGAGAGGTTCGAGGCCGGTGACAAGAGCTGAGAGGCAGAGGATGGAGAAGTAGATGGAGAGGTAGACTTGAATGAAGATCAAGAGCTTTTGGAGAGAGAAGTAGGCTTTGATGCGGTTGAAGAGGAGAGATACTAACAGCAGAGGGATAATCAGGAAGACGCACGACACCGTGGAGGCGATGGTGGCGGCGTACTTCTTACCGACAATGGGCTTGAACTGGTTCGTCATTTGTTTGTTGGCTTTGGTGAGGTAAATCTTCGAGGTGGTCCGAATTCTCTCCAAATCTGGGATTAGGGTTTGCTGGAATTTGCCGGGTAAGTCGGTGAAGTCGGAGACGAAATCGGTGTCGTCTTCTTGGTCGATCCAGCTGGGTTCGACTGGTTTTTTGGGTTTTTGTTGGGCTGGTATTTTAGCGTCGGTGGTTTTTTTCTTGTCGACCAGGTTTTGGGATTGTTTCGGGGTGGTGGGTTTGGTGGTTTGGTTCTTGGGTAAGCTTATTTTAGTTAGATCTGAGGTTTTCTTCGAGGAATTTGATGTGGGTGTGGTGGAATTTGAGGGTTTTGATGTGGGATTGAGCTTCTTCAACTCGCCATTCTTGGTGGAGTTGGACTTGGTGGATTTCAAAATCTTGGTTTGGTTCTTGGGGGAGGATAGATTGGGTTCGAGGAGTCTGGTTTGGTTCTTGGAGGAGGATAGACTGGGTTTGAGGAGTTTGGTCTGGTTTTTTGAGGATGACGAGGTTGGTTTGATCAATTTGGTCTGGTTTTTTGAGGATTGGTTGGTGGTGGTGGACTTGATCTTTTTGGGCAGGTCTTGGCCTGGGTCGATTTCTAATTCTAGCAAGATCTTCCTTGTACTCGCAACAAACCGTGAGGTCTCAACTGACTCAGAGCGGGCAGAAAGGAGGAGAGTAGGAAAGAGGAAGAAAACAGCAGAGGAAAGCAGGAGTACCTTTCCGAAACTCAAGTACATGAGTGGAGCCATTGCTGCAACCGATGAGGGCCTTCCCTTTCCCCTTCCCCTCCGGATACCTCGTTTCACCTAAAAGCTTGGACTGGATCTACAGTTAGAAACACTAGATTTTTATATATACATACAGAGACAGAAGAGAGAGAGTGAGAGACGAGAGAGAGTGAGACGAATTATATATAGGTTGTCGAATAGAGAGAAGTGAAGCAGAGTAGGAAGGAGTGGAGTGGGGAAGACTTTACTGCAAAAGGCAAGTGATGAGATCAGTCACATGGTGCAACTAGGCAGCGTCCACTGTCTACAACTCCCCTTGCGACGCGGTTTTGCCGGGGTCTTGCGCTCTTAATGAAAGAGCTACTTACGTAAAACGGTTTATTTTATATGTGATGTTTAGATTTTTAGTTTATTGTCATTTCTGCGTTTTTGTTTTAAGTTCATCACCGTGTTATGTTGAGAAAAAATTTAAGCATGGTAACATATTATTGAACTGGAACGCTACGTAGCGAGGAATCTGTTTCTTTTAAGCCATTTTTTAATGACTCCGGCAACTAGTTATAGACTAAACAACTATATTCTGTTATTGCTGGACGTAGTATTATTAGTCTAATAGATTCCTAAAATTGTGACTTAGTAACAAATTCTGGCAAGACGATGACTTCATTGGCCAGTAATCACCACTAAGTTGGTCCACTTTTGTCAAATATCGAAGTGGGTTGGCCATTTACCAAGACCAAGGGTCTGGTTGTCAAAATGCTCTTCTTAATTTTAAGTACATGGTTTTGACTTTTTATTCTAACTTGGTAATGTTGTATGCCTACTTTAACTGAAAAATTATATCAAGGGAGAGAGAGGTGCAACAAGGAGTAGAGAGAGATATGGTGAACTTTGAGAAGTTAATTATCTCACCTCATTCTGCCTTATTTATAGTAGTAAGGAATGAAGACTCTAAACCAAACACTGCCTCTGGAACTATTTATAGGACTAAACACTGCAACTATTTCTAGAACTGAACATTGTCATTATTTCTTGAATTAAGCATTGATACTATTTCCAAAACTGAACTCTGTATTGCCACTATGTTTAGAACCAAATGTGAAAGTATCAATTTTGAGGAAGCACTTGCATGGAAAGGAAGCTCATGAGGAGGATTAAACTTCTGTCTTGGATCGAGGACCAATTTTGTCAAGTTCGGTAAAAAAATTAGCAAAAACTTCCAAAAAAAAAAAAAGTCACCTTTGGAAAGCTCGATCTTCCTGTACACTAGTTTCAACATGTAGGTCTTGTATAGAAGAAAAATGGGTGTCAATACGAACTCGTAGCCTCTGACTTTGTGTGGTTTTATTACGGTATGAGAGACTTATGAAGAATCTAAGATTGAGCTGGTTTGATATTAAGTTTTATTCTAACCATAAATAAAGTTATTAAAGTGTTTTTGGTTATGATTCAAAATTTTGAAACCTTTTTCATTAGTGTTTCTTATAAATAAATGTGATATCACATAGCCTACTCTGATATATCGGATGTTATTATCCAACCCAAATTCAAATAACATTAGGAGAGGGGTGTAAGATTGTTTAAACAAATAATGTAAGCTTCATTTCCCAAAGTGGGACAACTCTCAACAATGACATGGATTGTTACATCACAAATAAACAGAACTTAAACCTAAAATTCAAGACTAATTGGCAGAGGCCAATTAGGTACCTTCCCTACCGGGTTTGTGATGTCTACGGCTTTGGCGAGATGTGGCCACACCCTTTTTGTGATGTTTTAAGTTTGTTGATGTCGAGTCTGTCATGTATGTTGTCTTCGTGATAAATTTGTCCCAATAACTTTTCATTCTTGTGGTGGTCATATGGTAGTTTAATTTTTTTGCTTCTTGTGCAAATTTCTCTTTAGATCAAGAAATTGATCACTATAAATAATATTCTCATTGACGCCCGTAATATTTGGTTCTTATTAATGGAATTACTCTCACTTCTTAGAAAAAAAAAATTTAATACACAGCAAGCTTTACATTTCCGCTATGAGATAAACTCAACAATATAAACAAGATATGAAGCATGTTTGCTACTGAATTTGTTTAGGGAAAGTATGCGTGGGATTGCTCTACTAGGAAACGAGCAAAAGATTTTGAAATGCTGAGTTCGCATCGACTCTATATGCTTGTTGCCATAAAAAAGGAATAATTTCAACAGAAAAAAAAAAAACAAAAAGTACATTGAGACATAATTAACCACATATAATAGGAAAGGGATGTGTGGATAATATGCCCAATATGAAGGTTTTACTCTTAACATCATGAGGTAGACCATAGAACTACCTAAAGGAATAAGACGTAGTCTGCTGCAAGGAATTTGGGTTTTTATACCACTAATGGATCATGGGCCTTCCAAGCCGCCCATAGTACAAGTCATGGACTCTCCAGGCTGCCCATGACACACACATTATGGGCCTTTCGGGTTGTCCATAATACTTTTTGCCATCGAGCCATATCCAATCCAATTATGGCAAAGCATCGACTCTCCAGGGTCTCTGCTTGGGTGTCTAGCACATCCACGCTCTTATCAACATGGACCTTCAAAACTACTAGTTAACAAGTTAGCAGAACTATGGAGACTGACCTCCATCATCAAAGACTGCCTAGTATGCTCTGTAGCCTCCCTTCTCAGCTGCCTACTAGGGCATTTCCCTATAAATAGTCAGGTCAAATAGAGAAAACGATAATCACCACATATTACTCAGAACTTGCTCACATTCTATTTTTCTCTCTACTACTTCCGACTTAGGCATCATAGGCCCTTTGGTGGACACTCTTCCCATTTTTCAAGGTGTTCGTCAATTAGGCTAATGGGATTTGTTCTCTTGTAGGTGGAATTTTGTCAAATCAACGTGTACAAATTTGCCTCCACAATACACATTTGGAAATTTATTGCACTAAATCATTTGATTCCTTTACAAAGGCCAAATTGAGAAAATCAATTGAAGGGTTTTGGGTGTTTTAAGATATTTCTAAGGTGCTTCAGAGTATCTCATATTTTAATTCATGTGATTTAATAGTTACATATTTTTTTTAAATACAAAAATCGAGATTAAACAATTAAAAAATTCGGAGTATGAGATACTGCAAGGCACCTTATCCTATACTTAGAATAATTAGTTTTTTTAAGCCTTATTTACGGAGATTTTTTAGTGTAATCAGGACACAACACAAGACAGTTTACCACAAGTCAAAAGATAAGTGGATGGACAGTGGAAATATACTGAAAGTATGACATGTCAATGTTGTCGTCCACTTATCTTATAAGACATGATATACTATCTTGTATTTTTGGTACACATAAAAATTTGGGCAATTAGCAGGAATGATCATTTTTACATTTGGTTGCAAAATTGATCAGGTGTCGTTATGTCTTGTTGTGTGGACGTTATGTTATTATTGTGTCGTCGGTATAAAATCAATATATGATCATTTTCTGAAACCAAATGTCAAAAAAATATCATTCCTACTAATTGGCCTAAAATTTCTCCTCATTTATAGTTATGAATTCTTTGAGGGTTGCATTGATTCAATTTTTTGTAGTCGGGTCAGGAGAAATTCAAACCAGATAATGATGCGATTGATCGATAAATGGAAACATCGTGGCTAAGAGAATTCGAATTCTCATTCCTCTGTTGTGGGGGGATAGGTAGTACACTCGAGTAAACGAATTTAATTGAAACCCATCAGATCATCATTATGAATCGGAAGTGCTATCCACACATCATTTTTTATCTTCCACACATGATACGCCTTTGTTAATTTTTGTCTATTGATATTTAAAAAAAAAATGTGTGAGAAGTAAAAATGAACTCGAATAGATGAATTTATGGCATGGAAAAATCAATGCTGGATTTTGAGTACAACTGAACCCTAAACCCTGATAATCTATACTATTATTAAGAGAACCCTCCTTGTCAACTTTTTGCCACTTTTTCCTATTTTGCCCTCACTTTTGATACATAATATTGACATAAGAAGGGCAAAATAGTAATTTTTTGTATCTTTTGAACTTTTTGCCCCTTTTTGCCCTATTTTGCCCTCATTTTTATACACAATATTTACATAAGGATGGCAAAATAGTAATTTTGTATCTTTTGAGAAAATGACAATCATATTCCTATTTTCCCTATTTTACCCTCACTTTTGATACACAATATTTATATAAGATAAAAAATATGCACTTATTAGGAGAAATTGTCTCACCATCATTTTTTCATGCAGTTAAGTGAAATCATGTTTTTTGGATAGTTTGAATGAACTGAAGCGGTTGCACTTGAGGAGAACGTGGGAGAAGGTGGGCGGTTGAAAAGACTTTAATTTTGTACCCTTTGATAAAATGACAATCATATCTCTATTTTTCCTATTTTACCCTTATTTTTTGAGAAAATGACAATCATATACATATTTTTCATACGACAAAAAAAATACACCCTTATTAAGATAAACGGTCTCATCATCATTGTCTCATACTATTTTTTAAAATTTTAAAAACTAACCACGCTCTTTAATAAAAAAAACAAAAAATAAAATGAAAATTTTCATACAGACAAAATACGTGCTCATCTTCTAGCGATTGAATAAAACAAAGAGTACAAGTGTGTAAGGGCCATTTGACTATGGTATGTGTTCTACCTTAATTAGTCTTGTTGATAGCCGTCAGATGTAAGATCTGGGAAACCATGTGTGAGTGTGAGACCGATGGTTGAAATAGTTGACTTGTGAGCAATTTGGGATCAATGAGTGCTTGTTCTTTAATATTATTAATCTTGTTTTATCAACCATGGTGGCGTTAATGCGTTTCCCATCTGGGATTGAGATCAAGTTCAACTACGTAATTAAACACTGAGACTGTCTGGTAGGGCCGTGGCACGTACGGGCCTGCATGAGGCCACGTTGTGATCACAAGTCCTACTGGGACCCAGTTGTGAGGATCCTATGCAATGGCTGATGTACCCTCTTTTCTATCTCTCTCATTAGAATGAACGTAGGTAACTGAGCTGGAATTATATCCTATGGACCGCACCTTTGTTTTGTATGCGGCTTGATCTACTAAACCTCACTCAAACAAAATATCATTAAGATTATGATTCAACTTTGTGATTCTATTTTTTTTAATTTTAATTATTATTAAAAAAAGAGGTGAGGATTCAAAACTATTAATTTATAAAGAGAGGAGTTTCGAACTCGAAGCGTATGAATAGAAACCCAACATCCTATTTACTAGGAT